GTGTCTATGTATCGCATGTATACATGAAGCTAATTTATGTTATGTAACAGTGAATGAATGCAAGAGATTGGTTGATGGGTATTTATTCGCCTAATTAACAAATTTTGTAAATATTTCTAAATTCATTCTAAACCTGCACATTAAATGGAATGATAGTAATGCTATATTTCTATATGCGAAAGATCATTGTGAAATCGAAGGCCATTAATCCATTTTAAAATTGTTAACAATAATAAAATGAATAAATAGCAGTGTAGTTTACTTTGCTGGTTTTCAGGTTATTTTCTGCGGTGCCTAAATAAAGGGGGGAGGGAGGGAGGTTATTTAAACTCTTTGTCACGCGAAGGTTAACACAAATATATGCTTACATTTTAAGGGATCCAGGACCCCGCCGACAGTTTTGGAGCGCACCACAAATGTGATGTCAGAAAAGATACCAATGCTAGTGCTGTTTGACTAAATCGCACAGAAATCGAATTTTAATAAATATTAAATTTCCGAGATGATCTTTTCATGAATTTAGGGTGATAACTTACAGTGGCCTCGAGCAAGAGCCAGGCAAGATTATTCTTAGCATCTTCGGGGGAAGGTACGGAAACATCTACTTTACCAACAACAAATGATTTATCCGTTGTTGGGATTACGGTTTCCCAAGTTGCTTTTCCTCCTTTGGCATCAGCTTTATACGATTTTTTTTTTAATAAAAAAATAAATAAATCAGAATTCGGGAACATTTGCATTGATAAAGGGATTTTCTGGTTTAAAATATTAAATAATAAATACCAGTAGATTGAAAGTAATGCTTGGCTTGAAAATTTTGTGGAATAGCTTTTTTAAATTTTTTTCCCGTGCTAATCAATGTTGCGTTAGGACCGACCAAAGTCCAAGATGGCGTAGCTGAGGTGTTGCAAAGGTATTCTTGAGTACCCTCTGCGGAAAGTTCGAACTTCAATTTGGCGTTAGCACTGATGATTTGGGTGATAATTTCTGTTGGTAGTGTAACTTCTGGTTCTATCATGTCGGATCAAAAAGAAGGAAGACCTTTAGAGGTTTGCCGAAAAAAAAAAGAACTTGTCAAATAACAACATACTTTTGTATGGTCCAGCGTTAACGACAACACTTAAAACCAGGGCTGCAAAGCAAAGAAGGAGTGTGGAGATTTTGATGTTAGACATGTTTGGTATTTTTCGAAGGTGAGGAGGACAATATTGAAAATGAGTTTTCTCCTCGTTTATATACAAAATAATTATACATGATAGAAAACTCTGATGCTGTAAATAGTATGACAAAATATATTGGTGTAATG